AGTTCATTTAATAATATCAAAATCGATCAAACAAAATATCACAAAAAAAAAAAAAATATATACATATATTTCAAAAAATGTTTAGCAACACGCTATATATATCACTTTAAAAGAGTATTTCGCCGATTAATAGATTATTACAATATATGTTTGTACATAATATAGGTTATAGATAATCTTAGTAGTCTTTGTAGGTAGATCACTTATTAACACGTTGACTGCCTTGTGAATATTTCATAACTAATTCTAAGCAATTTTACTTTTTTGAAAGTTAATGATATTCAAATAATAAGAAATTTAAAAACATTGTTAGAAAACCAATATGCATTAATTACTCTATTGAAAATTTATAATATAAACTACCTGTTAATTAACTTAGATTGATATGAAAGAACAACAACCTTTATTAAAAATACCGCCTGATGTTATTGTGGCTACACCAGCTAGAGCATTGCTTCACTTACAAGGAAAAAACATGACACTTAAAAAACTTCAAACACTGGTGGTCGATGAAGCAGATTTGGTATTTTCATTTGGCTTTGAAGAGGAAATTAAAGAAGTTATCAAGTGAGTTAAAACAAATTGTCTAATGTTAATACTATTTTAAATGGTGAATGATTGAATGCACACCTGATATGCCACAGATTTTTACCAAAAACATATCAAGCTGTTTTGGCTAGTGCAACATTATCAGAAGATGTTTTGGAATTAAAAAAATTACTTCTACGAAATGCTGTTATATTAAAACTGCAAGAACCTGATTTGGCTCCTTTATCACAATTAACMCATTATAAATTGAATGCTGAAGAAGAAGATAAAGCAGTAATTTTATACTGTTGTTTTAAGTTAAAACTTGTGAAAGGAAAAACTATAGTATTTGTTAATTCTGTAGATAAATGCTACAAGTTAGTACCTATTACTTTCCGATTTTCRTTAAGTTGAGTGTAATATTATTTTTTTTTGTTAGGTTAAAATTATTTTTGGAACAATTTGGTATTCATACCTGTGTATTAAATTCTGAACTTCCGGCCAGTTGTCGATGTCATACAATCAATCAGTTTAACGATAATATATATGATATAATAATAGCATCAGATGAAAAATTTTTAGATGAAGAACATGAAATAACTTCAACTAAGACCAGGTAAATAAAAAAAATTTTGATATTCAAAATTTAACTGTATAGTAGTTATTTATATTTATTTATATTTATATTTTAGTAAACGTAAACATGATAAAGAATTTAGTATAGCAAGAGGAATAGATTTTCAATTTGTGTCAATTGTTATTAATTTTGATTTTCCACAAGATATTTACTCCTACATACACAGAGTTGGTCGTACAGCGAGAGGAAAAAATAAAGTAAGATAGTTCTTTTTTATGCATAATTTTTTTTAAATGAATAATTTCTAATGTTGTTTATTTAGGGCACAGCTATATCTTTTTTAAATATTAGAGAGCAAAATTTATTAAAAGATGTAGAAGATTACATAAAACAAGGTATTTCAGAACAAAACGACATATTCCAAGATTTTAATTTTAAATTAGAAGAAGTCGAGGGATTTAGATACAGAGCTAAGGATGCTTGGCGAGCTGTTACTAAAATTGCAGTCCGAGAAGCTAGATTAAAAGAAATTAAATTTGAAATGTTAAACTCAAAAAAACTAAAAGTAAATCTATRGTTTTATTTAAATATAATATAATACTGTTAAGGGCCATTCTTACAATGCTCGGTTAGTGCCTGATAACACTAACCGGAAGAATTTATCATGAGTTAACCGATAGAATTCTACCGGTTAGTCTTAACCGACACTTAACCGGACATTGTAAGAACGGCCCTAAGTCTATCTAATTTGTAATTGTTCATTGTTTATACAGCGATATTTTCAAGAAAATCCTCGTGATTTATTGTCTTTAAGGCATGACAAAGCTTTACATACAGTGAAGTTACAAGATCATATGTCAGATGTTCCTGATTACATGGTACCTACTTCTTTAAAAGAATATATAAAAACCCAAGAAGAAGAAGATAAAGGGATTAAAAAGAAAGATAAAGCATATTATAAGAAAAAACAAGTTGGTTACAAAAAGTTTCACGCAAAAAAAACCAATCCTCTTGTTGGAATGGAATACACTGGATTGAAGAAAACGTAAATAATTTGCAGTATTTAATATTGTTTTTATTATTTTAGAGATGTATTGTTTTTACTATTTATTTTTATTAAGTAATTAAATCACTATCAATACATTTATACTTGTATACAACATATTTTGTTAGTTATGAATTATTTTTTGCATATAATAGACTTACATCCTACCTAATAGACATAGCATTCAGGTGATAGTTATTTTCATTATTTGCATACTTGGACATAGTGTTTCATATCTTTTAATCATGTTAAGTACATGTGCATAACCGAGTGCCACATAAGACCCAACACACAAGATAACTATATACAGTTCCATCTATRGTTATTACTTTTTAGCATAAACAAGTAGGTAGGATACAGCTTATGTTTATCAGTTAATATTATGTAAATTGAAGTAAGAATGTTCCATCACATACATTTTTAAACTATAAATATGATTTGGTGTGGCTGGGTGTCTACACTCAGTTGTGTACATGCTCTGAGTGTATGGTGCAGCTGGCATTACTAGCTTTTTTAGAGATTTTGGTTCATGGATAAATACTAAGGGCTGTTCTTACAATGTCCGGTTAAKTATCGGTTAAGACTAACCGGTAGAATTCTATCGGTTAACTCATGATAAATTCTTCTGGTTAGTGTTATCAGGCACTAACCGAGCATTGTAAGAATGGCCMTAAATATGTTAAAATTGTGCCATATAAAAGAATAAGTAAGGAGGAATCTGAAATGCTTTGATATAACGACTAAACTATATAATTGTAGGTAAGTACAAATTGTACAAAGGATCTAAATTGGAATGAAATAAAATAGTAATTCAATTAAAAACGTAAACAAAAGATAATTATTTGGCTTTAGTACATTTAACATTTTTTTAACTACTTATAAATATAGTTTTAATATAATGTTCAGTATCCTAATTCCTGGCCTAAATATTACCTAACTATAGAGTATATAGCATATATATATATATATGTTCTGTACATAGGTCCAGAATTTGATCATAAAATAGTTTTTATTATTGTGTCTAAATTTTTACAATTGCTTAGACAGTTATCATAGAATAATATATAATAGTAATAATATATTACTATATACTACTTATTATTGCTACCTATAACAAATAGTATTACTATATACTATATAGTAATATTACTTTATGGGTTATATATACTAACCTCAAGTATTTTTTTCCACCCTTCCTATGACTCATTTGTCCATTGAGCTCTACTTATAACTTACATCTTTGCCAGTGGAAATTCTGCTTGTTAATAACATCACATAATTTAAAAGATTTCTAAATAGTACTTATTGAATGCATTTCTGTCTTTTGAATTTTGATAATATAATATTTGCATATAAAACATATGATATAGGTAAGTACTTTTCAGGGTGTGTAATTAAGGGGTGATGAGGGGGATAAGTCCCCCAAACGGGTAGAACCCAATTCCGTACGATTTACCTTTTTAGCGCTATGAAATAATTATTTTAGCTATTTTTGATGAAACTTTAAAACAAACGAGTAATGACTACCTATAGATACGTGCAATTTTCACCGAAAAGTCATATAAGTATATTCTATCCACCATTTAATTTTCAAAAATTTTCTTAAATTGAACTATTCATAGATATTTGCAATTTTCGATCATTATTAGTTTTTTTTTTAAATTAATATCGATAAAAATTTATTTGTTGGGTAGAAAAGCTTGAAATCTTACCTAATACAAGGCTCTGAACATATTGTTACAATAGCAATTGAAAAATAAAATAAATTCATAGTTATACATTTTTATAAGCGTTCAAAATTTGAATTTTGACAAAATACGTAAAAATCACAAAAATTCGCAAATTATTTTAAGCTAGAAATTCAAAAAAAAAAATTTTTTCAAAACTAAGATTTTTAATTTAATACAAGATTTCTTACAATTTTTTCAACCTTTATCATAAAATAAATATMCACCAGAAATTCAAATTAAATTTTTATGAGCATTTGAAATTTAAATTTGTACAACATTGGATTTTCACTATAGATTTCTCATTTAGCGATTTTCTTATTTTGGTGTAACTCTAAAACAAATGACCGCAGATACTTGAAATTTTCACTGAATATTTATTTAGGCATTTTTTATATTTGATACAATTTTCAAAATATTTTGATTTGTTTTGAGCTGTTTACTGACGTTTTAATTTTTAACTTTTTTAGTTTTTTTTTTTTATAAATATCAATAAAAATTTATTCGTTGGGTAG